CGGAGGGACTATCTTAGAATGTCTTGACTTGTCATTGATTCATTTGTTCATGGTACTACTGAAATTTTACTCAGAATAGTTAATAGTATTTTGAAATATGTTCCTTTATTTTCATCGTCCAATATACAGTGCCATTCCTGATATCTTGCATATGTGAAATAAACCAATATAGATCATGCATATGAAGTTCCTTTTTTTTGTCTCATTGGAACCTTAGCTCATTAAAAATTAAAAGAAAAACAACATAAGAGTTGTGCTCTGTTTTATCATGGTTCATGATAAATTGGTGTCATTTCTGAACACTTTTGAATTTGATGATATGTTGCACAAACACTTTTGATGATGTGTTGCACACTGGTACTCGCCACAGTTTGTTATCTTATTTCGATCTTTTGCATCTAGTTTTGGTCAGACTAATCAAGAACTGAGGTAGTTATCATTTTTCATAGGGGCGCCTCTTTCTTTCCCCAAGAATAACTGGATTCTATTCCAATATATTTGGCCGGAAAACCAAGTTTTTCTTCCTTTGGGAAGATATCGATGACATCCAGGTTGTTCCACCGAAACTAGCAACAGTCGGCAGTCCATCATTGATGATCATCCTTCGCAAGGACAGAGGTTTTGAAGCCAGGCATGGCGCCAAAGCACTGGATCCTCAAGGGAGACTGAAGTTCCATTTTCAGACATTTGTTTCATTCAATGATGCTCACAGGTATGTATCATTCCTTTACCCCCCCTTTCTTTTCATTCCATGCTGATATGAAGATTCCAAAGAGATATGAAACCCTACTGTACATTTGTTTAAGATTATTACAGGTTAAAGTTTTAAAGATATGCTTTATCGATCATTGTATCACACCAATAGATAAAGTGCCTTTCAATAAGGATTGCCATTAATGCTTTATGCAAATTTTGTATCCTGAGTCCCTGAGTCCTGAAAGAATATCTTCAACAATCAATGACATCACATAAATAAAAACATGGCAGGAAAAAAAGATATCTCGAATTTCTTCATCATTCAGTATAGGTATTTAAGGTAATAACTGGTGTTTGCTTGCCGTAGTATGATGGCCTACAACCCAGTTTCCTGCCTCTTTTCTCTATAGAGCTTGCTGTCTTTCTGATGCAATGACTGAAATAGTCCCCTAGGTTCAAAATTTCGGCGAAATTTCCCGAATTTCTGTAATTTCGGTGGTCGCCGAAAGAAAACCCCAAAAATTCGTAATACACTGATACATGTTTTATATAAGTGTAGACTCATATTTTCTATTGTTTATATTGCATATTCTTCTATCCAATAGATGTGTAGTCATAAATCATACTAATATTTGTTTATATCTAATTTTTTTTAGAAAAAGCATACTTCATGTGCTGGTCTCTAAATAAATTTCGGCGAAATTTCGGCCGAATTTCGAGAAATTCGGTAATTTCGGTGGTGGACGAAATTTTTGCAATACCGAAATAAAAAACCATCCTATTTAAATAATAGTTTTCTGTGGATGTCATCCTGCCTAAAAGAAGTCATGAAATAGGTTACATCATGTATAAATAATAGTTTTAAAAGGAAACTAAAATTTCTTCAGGTGAGTACTTAAATATACATATCCAAGGTCCAAACCAGGACCTGGCTTTTCAGTGGTAACAAGCAACTAAGTTGATTTCCCAGACTGGACCCAGCGAACAGAAATCTGAAGCAATTTCCTGGTAGCCAGATTGGTTACAATTTGTCTCAATGTTCATGCTAAAACTCAAATTGGTGAACTGAGCAATCTGTTCCCATTACATTAACAGAACGCAATGTGGCTAGGGTCTTTGGATTTAAAGGGCAGGATCATTCTAGAGCGATGAGAAAGAACCAATGCTCTAACCAGGGATTCTTTCACCTCAGTGAGCTTGGTGTTTTTCTTGGTTCCTTGATGAAGGCATTCAAAGATACATCAAAACTTTTCAGGATTTTCAAATTTCCTTGGTTATAGTCGTTACATAAGTTGTTAAAAATGCCTTTCTTTTGTGTGGTTTCAAAGGAATTTTTAAGGAAGCCTATTTTGAAATGAGCTTCACAAACACAAATACTTCTCTCTAAACTATATGAACGTTCATACACAATTGAACATTCGAAATAAGTCATCCTTCCCAAATTTTCTGGAACAAAAATAGTGTATTAATAATAATTTATTTTATATTATTAAGATCCCTTAGTGGTAGCTTGTTATACATTGTTTGGTCCCATTCTTCCATTATTATTGCAATATAAGCTTTTCTTGTCAAATAGTTATGTTAATGTATCAAACAACTTTTTGACAGAATTATTATGGCAATTTGGAAAATGCGGTCACCAGGTCTGGAACAAAAAGGTGAGATGATCGATAAAGAACCTGAACTGAAAGAGAACCCGTATGAAGAAGGTTCTCTATTGGCCAACGAAGATGTAAAAATGTCAGAAGTCTACTCGGCAGTTCTTTCTGTCGACGTGAGTCTTGTGCCTTGCCAATGAAAACACGTCTGGAACCTCATAAATGCAGGGGCTCAAATGCTTCTGTTGAAATCTAATCAAATTCTGTATTTGCAGGTCAGTGCCTTAATGGAGATGTTCTCTGGAGGTCCACTGGAACACAAAGTGATGGAGAGAGCCGGTTGTGTTGACTACTCAGCTACAGAATGGGAGCTGCTAAACCGTAATGTATACCAACGTCGTATAAGCTTTCGGTTTGACAAAAGCTTGTCAAGATATGGAGGGGAAGCAACGACCACTCAGCAAAAGTATAACTTACCGAATCAAAATGACTGGATTGTCGAGGAGGTGATGACCCTCCAAGGTGTCCAGAATGAAGACTACTCCAGTGTAAGATCATGAAAGCAGAGCTCGATGAAAGCACTCGGATGTTTTACTCAATTTTTCAGGTAACAGTTGGTGCTTGCTGAAATTGCAGATCCAATTGAAGTACCACATGACTAGCACGCCCTTGAGACCAAACAGCTGCAGCATCAAGGTTTTGTTAGGGATTGCCTGGTTGAAGGGCACTAAGCATCAGAAGAAGTCTGCAAAGAATGTCATGATGAATTCCGCAAACAGGCTGAGGGAGATCTTTTCAGAAGTCGAGAAGGAGGTCACATCAAGGAAAGGTAACCCTTTTGAAAACCAACTGATTCCTCATTCCAGTAAATAAATCGCTGAAGCAACCCTGGCTCAAGACAGAAACGATAAATGCTCAGAGGAACTTCATCTCACCCAAGTAATGTAAATTAATGTCTTTGATCTGGAACAACAGTAACAATGACTTGTATCTGTGAAATGCAATTCCAGGTTCAAGCTAACTGCCGTAAGGTCATCATGGATTGATTCAGGTATGATAGCAACTGTCAGCTGTGGACATGATCAGCAATAGTCCGTTAGCGTCACAGTTTGTTTCAGCTATTACCATTACTGCTGGTGGCCAACTTTTGCACAGATGGCTAGCCAATGTGAAAAGAGTTTTTGCACAGATAGCCCTAGATATGTTCTCACACTTATTAATTAGTTCAGTGTTAGTTCAAGTAGAGTTGTGTATATAGAAAATAGGAAAGTGTAACTCGTTTCTTTGGGGAATACTGCAAACAATTGTTTGAGCAAAAAAGTTTGTAATGCAGTCTCAGGAATTGAAAGACAACAAAATGCAAGAACATCGATCAAAACTTTCCTTGCTTCAACAGTGTGCAAGCCTAAGGAGCTGGAAGGATTGGGAGTGCCGGACCTAGAAAGATTTGCTTCAACAGTGTGCAAGCCTAAGTAGCTGGGAGGATTGGGAGTGCCGGACCTAGAAAGATTTGGGAGAGCTCTTCGCCTCGGATGGCTGTGGCAAGAATGGGTAGATGACTCAGAGCCATGGGTGGGAACGGAAGTACCGTGCAACAACACAGACCGCTTCCTTTTCAACTCCTCTACCACAGTCACAATCAGAAACGGTAACAAGGCTCGCTTCTGGCATCATATTTGGCTTGATGGAGAAGCGCCCATATACTTAGCGCCACACCTGTTCCAGCTAGTGCGCAGGAAGAATAGGACAGTGAGTCAGGAACTACACAATGGCAATTGGATCCGATCGCTGCGGGCGCACGTGACAACAACAACACAGCTGCAAGAATTTATCGGGCTTTGGATCAGATTGCAAGGGGTGCAGCTGCAGCTTGACGTGCAGGACACAATCACTTGGAAGTGGATAGCCGATGGAGTTTACTCCACACGTTCGGTATACTTGATTCAATTCAGAGGATCCCATCGAAAATTCAAGCACGAACTCATCTGGAAGGCGCAAGCAGAAAACAAATGCAAACTGCACGCTTGGATCTTAATGCACAACAAAGTCCTAACGGCCTGCAAAAAAGGGGATGGCCTCATTAAGAACATTGTGTTTTTGTGTAATGGACCTTTGGAGACAGGGCTTCATCTCTCTTTGCTTTGCCCCTTTGCATAGGCCGTTTGGGCCCAAGTGTTATCTTGGGAAAATCTCATGGTGCAGCTGCCGCAGCAGGACCCCGCCTGCATTGCCGAATTGTAAGAAGATGCAGCAAGCAAGATCCCAAAACAGGAATGCATACATTTCAATGGAATACTAATATATATTGTGTGGAACTTGTGAAATGAGAGGAATATGAAGATTTTTTAGAACGAGTTCAAGACGGCACAGCAGGTTGCCTCCATGACCAAAGAGGACATTGTGTAAAGACGCAGGGCTTTTTCTTTTGGGGGGTGAAAAAACTGAACTATGGGAGGGGTGTATCTACTTTGGTTTAGGACCGGTGTGATTGACCCAATGAATGCCACGTGTTCATAAAACACTCTCTTTTCTATACTTAATTAAGCGGCAGACTTTTCTTTAAAAAAAAAACTTTCCTTGCTTACTAGATTAGTGACCTCTGTCCTATCCGACATCAAGTTCAGTCTGTCATGGAAATCTGTTACAGATCAGAAGTTCAGAACAAGGACAACCAAGGGATCAAAGGAGAAAGGACAACAAAGAATTTCAGGCAGATACAGATACAAGAGAATCTCGGGCCCCCGAACTGCCTGCACCATCGCCTTGAACGCCGCCCTCGAGGTTCGTGGACGACCAGAGCCTCAGCTCGACGAGCAATTCGTCGGTGCTGCAATCCACATCCATCGCCGCCGCCTCGCTCGCATTGTTGCCCCTGACGAGATCACCTGCCACCAGCGGAAACAGCTTCAGGCACTCGCCGCTCAGATCAACCCCGGTCGGCGGCGGGTGGCGGAGCACTGGGATGGTGATGCCTCTGCCGACATCCCCCGGCGCCAAAGGAAACAGAGCTAGCGTCCCGTCGGGGAGGCGGAGGAGGTGGATGGGTGCAGCCGCCCGCCGCCGCTGCTGCTGGTACACCTTGCTGAGGACGGAGTGCCAGCGGTTCTTGACGGCGTTGTCGGTGCGGCCCGGGAGGAAGCCCGCGATGGTGGCCCACTTGTTGGGGTACAGGCGGTAGAGCGCGATGATCCTCTCGTCCTCTTGGAGGGAGAAGGGGCTGCTGGTGTCGACGATGGGGCTCAGGTGCTGGCACCACCGGAGGCGGCACGACTTGGGGTTGCGCCCGGCCAGCGCCTCGCTGATGGCCGCCCAGTTCTGCGGGCCGTGCAGCCGGACCTGCTCCCGCAGCACCGCGTCCTCCTCCTTGGTCCACGCCGACTTCTTCATCATGGCCACCGGCCGGACGTCGTCCACCGCCGCCTCGTCCGGCACCGACATCGGCTGTCGCCTCGTTTCTTGCGGCGGAGGCTGCGATCGAGTCGTTTCGGGCCTTGTCCTTGTGGGAGTGGATGCGGTCGGTTCGGTGCCGCAGTGCCGCCGCGGCGGGTTTCCTTTTATACACTTGATTCTCTCCCTCTGAATTCGAAACCGAACCCGAGTGGGTTCCTATGGATCGACCTAGGTACATGTCGACACTTATACTTCGTGCCGACGCTCAGATTACAAGATTTCGATTGTGAGATTTGGAGAAAGCTGAGTAGCGAGGGAATTGAAAGGGAAGATGCACAGTAGACAGTACAGCGTCTTCGCGGGTCCAGCGGCGTAGGCGGCTCTTTCGAAGGCTGGATTCGGCAAAATGTGGCAAAAGGATAGTAATTCATGGCGTGCTTGCTTTCTTTACCAAGCTTGCCTCACCTTGCTTTGCTCATCTTGCCCAGCCCTGCCAGGCCAGGTGGCTCTCCTGTGCTAGCAAGGAAATCCTTGCCCACAAAGATCTCGAGGTGTTTTAGCTGGGGATCCAAATAACCACTTTCCATCTATATCCTCAGTCAGCAAGGTCACACGGTAAATTGGATCTCACACTTCATTAATTCAGCGTTAGTTCAAGTAGAGTTGTGTAATATACAATCAAAACTTATCACAAGATTCAACGGAGCTAAGATGAAAGAATTCATATTTCGTGTCACAGGCTCACAGCTTATCCAAATAATAAATGTATACGTGCATGTTAAATTGGATAAGAACCAAACTTGTATCTTTGAATAACAAAGCAGCACAAAACTACAAGCTATATTGATTCACACGACAGCTAACTGCCAACAGAAGGTATGGAAATATGGTGGATCAAACATAAAGAAATGACAAAGAAATTTAAAAGGCATAACTTATTTCTTTGGAGAATAGTAGTCAAACAATTGAGCAAACAAGTTTATAACACACAAGTTGATCTCAGCTCAAAGCACTATTACAACATCAAAAGGGCAAATTCAAAATGTCATTCGAAATATGGCCATCAAAAGCTGAATTAGGCCTCATATCAGCCATCTGCCAATGCCGCTGGAATGGGCTCTTCTATCTTGATCCTACTGAAAACATCACGAACATCAGCATGGTTCTGGATGCTAGCAGGAGACTGGGAAAGCAGCTGCTGTGCAACTTCATGCCTATCTTCTTTCAACAAAGCTTGAAACAAGCGCACATAAGTTGTTCTTGATGGCAACCCTTTTGATGATGTTGCATTGAACAGGCCCAGGGCATCATCCACTGTCCCAGACTTTGAAATATGTGTGATACAAGGATCAATAAATGATGGATAGCCGTGACTTTTCATCAAACCTAGCACTTCAAATGCTTGTTTTAGATGCCCTTGGCGGATCAACTTGTGGATCAAATACTTGTAGGTTGTCTGCCAAGGAACTACATTCTTTTCAGACATCAGGTTCTTCAGAACTTTGAATGCTTCCTTTGCCCCTTTCTTCTTACATAATCCAGAAACCAGCGCCTCAAGAGCAGAACCCACATTCTCGTTGTCGTTGCCGCTTCTTTCCAGCATTTCATGGAAACATGACACTGCAGTGTCAACATTTTCACCAAGAGAATACTTCTGAACTAAAGAAGACCATACCTTTGAACCTAACTTATGCCCTGACTGTTCCACATCAACCAAATACTTGTGTGCTTCTTCAAGATTGCCAGCATCACACATTGCAAGAATAGCTTTCTCATGGTCGACACTGTCTGGTGCAAAGCCACCTTCCTTCATCGCCATGAGCACTCTACCACTCTCCCCAAGCCTCGCCACACTCCTCAATGACTTGAGAACAGAATCAAAGGCCAAGGCTTTGACCTCATTGCCCGCATGCTGATAGTACCTCACGACCCTTGTTACCAACTTAAGATCCAAATCACCAGTCACCACAACCTTCTTCAGCAGGACGACAAAATCCTCCTCCGAGAGCTTCTCTGGTCTGCTTGCCATGAATCGGAACAGGTCCACTGCATCCTCAACCATCTTCCTCTTGAGGAACCTGTCGGTGACAGTAACATACACATCCCGATCCATCTCAAGCCCCTTACCCCTCATCTTCCGCAAGACCTCGTGGAACTCCTGGATGCAGTCCTCACGGCCGAGAACCTTTGCCATTGCATTGTAAACCTTGCCCCAACCAATTCCAGACCCAGCCGACTGCTCCACCCACTGGAAGAACACCATCGCCTGCCGTGGGAACTGCCGGACCTTCTCCACCACCAATGCCACCAATTCATCAGCCACCTCAACGCCCGATTCACTCAGCATGTCCAGCTTTGAGGAGTCATCCTTGCCCGGCGCCCGGAGAATTTTGCATACCTCGGCCGCCGCCGCGTTCCTGCCGTGCGCGGCGAAGGCGTCCTGGAGAAGGTCGGCGTCCCTGGCCATGTCCTTGGCCCGGAAGCTCTCGGAGGCGGCACGGAAGGCGGCCTTGGAGATTCCGTAGCCCTTGGACCGCATGGAGGTGACGAGGGACCAGAAGCGCTGGGCGTCGCCGTGCGCGGCGGCGAGCTTGAGCATGGAGTTGAAGGACCGGGAGTTGAGGGCGGCCTTGGCGGCGGGGTCGGAGGCGGCCCAAGAGAAGAACCGTGAGGCCGCGGGGTAGTTTCCCGCGAGCCCCGGGTCGAGGAGGAGCGCGGGGACGGTGTCCGGGTGGGAGAGGTCGACGCCGGCGGACTGGATCGCGGCGGCCGGGTCAGCGGGCGGGGTGGGGTCAGAGAAGAGGGCGGCGATGGTGGATGATGATGAGGAAGAGGATGAGAAGAGGCGACCGAGGTGGCAGGGTACGAGGGCGGTGAGGCGGACGCCGCCGGAGGTGAGGGCGGCTCGGAGCATGGTGGCGGCGGCGGAGAGGGGAGAGGGGAGAAGGGTCGGACGAGGTTGGAGGAGGGGTTTCGAAATGGGTTGGGGGTTTAGCCGTTTGCTTACCTCGGCCCGATAGTGGTTTCTGGTTTGGGCCTGTTGCCTATGCGGGAAAGGAAGGTTCAGCCCAAGAGTTGAGCCTGGCCAGCCCTGACCGCCAGATGCATAAGGTTTGGCCCATGGCTCTTTCGGCCCCGCTTTACAAAAAAAAAAAAAAAAAACATTAGGCTAGGCTGGGTTAACTGGATTTCCTGGAGATTTGAACTTACACACCTTTCGGCGTTTTTTTTTGGGTAACACCTTCGGTGTTTGAGATGATATTCATGCTACAATACCATACTAGATGGATAGCTCGGAATGTATGGCTTTTCAGCATTTTAGATATGTTGAGCCTGCTTGGTTGAAGACTAATTTTTGCATGCCAATCTTAGGGCAAGTTGATATTTTGATAAGACAAGCAAGGTTGATACTCGGTTTGCTAACAAGAGAGTCTGCCAAAATTTTGGAAGATATTGTCAGAATTTCGGAATTAAAGCAATTGCATGCGAAATCTTTTAATTTTATGTAAAAATTGACTTTGCAACCAAAAAGACACGTTGTTTCAAATTTCTATATCTATACATAATAATAAAGAGGCAAAATTTCAGCCCATTTTTTTCGTCCATCCATTTTTTTTATCCATCTCCCTTTAACTACGGGACAATAGACACTTTCTTCCGTCCGGACTTATATATATAACCGGTGCTCATAAGAGTTAGAATAGCTCTTGTCTAGCGTGATACGGAGTCCAATTCTAAAATATACACAATCTTAAAGTAATATATATCTATCTACCTGAAAGTATCTAGGCCTTTAGTTGGGTTTCGGTGATTAATGATAATATGAGATTACTATGACTAACGTGTGTTTTGCAGATGCAATTAAGTTAGGTCATGGTAATGACAATTGATTGGGCAATCATGGTTGTCATGCCCCTACGATGGAAATCGTTTCGGGTTTCAAAGGATGGACGACAAGGTTAAGGATAGACTTGTTCTAAGTGTCGTTTAGTGTTGAAGAGACACTTAGAGTAGTTTAGGACTGTGTTTTTCCTTTGGCCGTACTATTAAGGGGGTATGGACGGGTAGCTTGACCTAGGTGAGTCTACTGGGTTAGGTGTGGTGCACACTTGTCAAATCTAGCACTAGGTAGCTCCTAAATAGCCCTAAGATCAATTGGAGCGAACTTCATTCACATATGATTACGAGTTGAAAGTGAATGGAGGGTCAAATGTTGACCAGACGCTGGTTCCGGTGTGACCGGCCGCTGGCGCAGAGTCCGGTCAGTTCATTTGATCAAGGAGAAGTCGTCTGGATGCGACCGAACACTGAGTGAAATGTGACCGGATGCTGGGTGCCAGAGTCCGGTCAACTCCAGTAAGGTTCCAGAGAGGGAGAATTCTGATCGGACACGTCCGATCAGTGCTGACCGGACGCTGGTCAGGTTCCGGCTACTGACCGGACCCACGCTGAGCAGCAAAGTGACCGGACGCTGGGTTCTAGAGTCCGGTCAACATCAGTAAGGTTCCAGAGGGCAGTTTTCGTGACCGGACGCGTTCAGTCAGTGTTGACTGAACGCTGGTCAGTGTCCGGTCACAACTTAACTGCTTGGTTGCGGGAAGAACTGGCCAGAGCGTCCGGTCACCATGACTGGAGCATCCGGTCATCCCGCAGTGGCACATAACGGTTCGTTTTGAATGAGGGGTTATAAATACTTCCTAGGTTCACTCAAGGGATCACTTTTGCTCATTTCAACAGCTGAGAAACACCCTTGAGAGTGCTAAGAAGAGCAAGGTCCTAGTAAGGTGATTGAGATTTGAGAATCCAAGAGAGAGGCCTCATTAGTGAAAGTAAGAGTAGCAAAGTGTGCATCCACTCTTCTCATTAGGCTTGTCGTGGTCAAGTGAGAGTTCGTGCTTGTTACTCTTGGTGATCGCCATCATCTAGACGGTTTGGTGGTGATTGGGAGTTTGGTAATCATCCAGCGGAGCTTGTGGATGACTCAACTCAAGTTGTGAGCGGTTGTGGGTGATTCACCACGATGGAGTGTCGAAGAATCACCCCATAGAGAGCACTTGATCCTTACGAGGATCAAGGGGGAGCTACACCCTTGCTCAGGTGCTCCAACGAGGACTAGTGGGGAGTGGCGACTCTCCGATACCTTGGCAAAACATCACCGCGTTACTCTTTCTCTCTTTACTTCAAACATTTACTTTGAGCAATTCAATTCTTGTTTTTACATTCATAGACTTATCATGCTAGAGTAGGATTAGAACTTAGGTTGCAAAACTTTTGTGCGGTAGAATATTAGAAACACTTTCTAGGCACAAGAGGTGAAGTGGGCCAAGTGTAGAATTTAATTATTGCAAAGAATTTTAGAATTAGCCCAATTCACCCCCCCCTCTTGGGCATCTTGATCCTTTCAATTGGTATCAGAGCCTTGTGCTCACGTATTTAGGCTTAACCGCCTAGAAAAAAGATGTCTCACGGGGATGGACCTCCTTCTATCTTTGAGGGGGATAATTTTTCTTATTAGAAAATTCACATAGAGGCGTATTTACAAGCTCTAGATGTTGGAATACTTAGAGCCGCCTCACAAGGATTCCCAAAACCTCAGGATCCCACGCACCTTCAATGCGATGAAGTGAACTATGAGAAATGGAATGCAAAGGCTCGAAACACCATCTTTAGAGGCCTTTGCAAAGATGTGTTTAACCGGGTGATGAACCGCAAGGACGCCCATGCACTATGGTTGGACATTTGTGCGCTCTATGAGAGAACTAAGAGCGAGCGTAAGGAACGCTATCATCTCGTACTTTTGAGATGCTTTCTAAAGAGAGTGCTAATGAAATGTACTCACGCTTGAATGTTCTTGTAGAGGAAGTCAATGGGCTTGGACCCACTCAAATGCAACCATCCGATGTTGTAAGAAAAATCTTAAGTGTCCTCCCCATTGATAAATATGGGCATAATGTGACCGTGCTTCATCAAGGTGATCTTTCCACCGCTACACCGACTCAAATCTTGAGAAAGATCAATGCTCATGAGATGTACATACACATCACACCACAAGATGACTCATCCTCTACCAAGAAGAAAGACAAAGACTTAGCATTCAAGGCTAGCCAAGTGAAGGGCAAAGCAAGAATTGAGTATGAGAGCTCAAGTGATGATGAAGTTGATGATGCAAGTCTTGCTCTCATGGTGAGAAGAACCGCCAAGATGCTAAAGAAGCTCAACAAGAGTGGCATCAAGTTCGATGGAAAAAAAAGTTCTTCACTAGCACTAGAAGGAAGCCAATCTCCGATATGGATTGCTATAATTGTGGAGAACTTGGTTATCTAGCACATCAATGCACCAAGCCCAAGAAAGACAAGTACAAGAAGAAGAATAAGGGCAAGAAAGATGACTCAAATGATGAAGATTAAGATGAAAAGAAGAAAAACAAGCCATACAAGAAGAAAGATAGCAAGAAGAATGACTTCCACAAGAAGAAGAAAAATAGGAAGGCATACATCATCGATGAATTGGCTCACGGATATTGATTTATCTAGTTGCTCATCTGATGATAATAGTGACAACGAGAAGGTGGCCGCCATTGTGATTGACTCCTCATCATCTTCACTGACACCACCGCCATCATCCTCTACACACCTATGCCTTATAGCCAAGGGTGAACGAAAGGTATCAAATGATGATGATAGTAGTGGTGATGATCATACTAACAATGATGATAGTGATAGTGATAGTGATGATGATGAATATAAATCACCTTCATATGATGATCTTGTTAAATTGCTAAATCAATACACTAAGATCATTAGAAAGACTAGAGCTAAGAATGAAAAGCTTGAGATTAAGAATGACTCTCTTTTAGCTAAATGTGACATAGCGGAAAAGGCTAGTGTTGAGCTTAGAGAAGCAAATGATGCTATGTCATCCAAACTCAAGGAGCTCAAATCTTCTAAGAAAGAGCTTAAAGATAAACATGATAAACTTGAGAGGATACATAATGAGCTCATCACTAGCCATAATATGCTAAAAGAAGAATATACAACTCTCAAGATCAATCATGATAATCTTGTTATTGCTAAAAAAATTTATCCAATGAGCCACATGATGCTACTAACGATGTTGTTAAGATTGATATAGCTACATCATGTGGTGATTTAATTGTTGAGAGCATTGAGCAAGGATCTAGTGGTAAAGGCAAGCAAGTGGTTGAAACCGACAACTATGATGAGTATGTCAAGCTCAATCATGATAATGAAAAGCTCAAGAAAGATCTTGAAGAGCTTAAAACCACCAACACTATAGTGCTAGAAACTCTTGATCATGATGGTGATTTGATTCTTGAGAATGAGAAGCTCAAAGAAGAGAACAAGAAACTCAAGGAAGAGAAAAATAATGATGCACTCAAGGAAGAGAACAAGAAGCTCAAGTTAGAGAAAGAGCATCTCAAGATTGGATTAAGCAACTTTACAAGAGGTAAGCATCTTCAAAGTGAGCTACTAATGAATACCGTCATGAAGATGGATAGAAGTGGCATTGTGTATTTGACAAACCAAGAGAAGAAGGCTCAAGCTCAACAACAACAACACAAGTCAAAGCCAAAGCCAAAGAGGTATTTTGAGTGTGGACAAGAAGGCCACTTTGCCCATGAGTGTCAAACTCCACCACCACAACCCTTGCCCAAGCATGCTAGACCCTTTGCTTTCAATGCTCATTACATGCTTAGAAAGGACTCTAGTGGAAAGATGAAAGTTATGTTCTTAGGACCTCCCAACAAGAATAGGCCTAAGAAAATTTGGGTTGTAAAATCACTTGTTGAGAAAGTAAAGGGCCCTCAACAAGTTTGGGTTCCTAAAGCTTGATCTCTTATGTGTAGGTGAACTACAAGATCGGTGGAAGTCATTGGGTAATTGATAGTGGTTG